GTGTATGGGGGTATTTGGCGTGGGTATGGGATTGTTCGTGGGGTTATTAGGGGTTCTGGACCTCAATTTTATTATTATTATTATTATTTATTTATTATTATTTTTTTTATGCGGGGTGCCGACGACCGCCGACCGGTAGGTGCCGACCAGCCAACCGGTAGGTGCCAACCAGTCAAGAGTCGTCGACGGTCGGGGTGTCAACACTGGTTTAAAATAAAATAAAATAAAGCAGTTACTTGCATGTTAAAGGTCATATCTTGAACTTGTGTTGTTCGTGACAAAAAAAAAAAAAAACAGTAGCTGCGCATCAAATGGCAAAACAACCGTCACAACCCCAAGTACACTATTCAGATCTGCTGCTTTGCTCGTGGAAAAGTATGAAAGAAGTTACCTGGTGATGCTGGTAAGCAGCGGGGTACTCTGTCGAATTCTCCCCTCTGCAGTTGCTGCTCCTGCTGCTGCTGCTGCTGCTGCTCTTGCTGTTGCTGTTGCTGCCGCTGTTGTTGTTCCAGCTGCTCCTGCTTCTGCCGTGATTGAGCCGCCACTGAGAGGAGTGGGACTCTGCGTTCTCGAGGGCTGAGGTTGTCTATTGCTGCTGTAGCCTCCATTGCCACCACAGAGGGGCCAGTATTGCCATGCTCCGCAACGGAGCTGAAGGCATTGTCATCTGCTTGAGAGCGCTGCTGTCGAGACGTGGGTACTCTGTCAGATACAGTTCCAGGAGCCCTCTGCCTTTTCTCGCCACCGACCATCAGCGTGGTCCCTGTTCCGCCAGCTGCGATGGATGATGATCGGGGAGTGGTGGCAGCCATATCCGCTGAAAAGGTGAAGCTCGGGCTACGGTTCAGCACTGGAGTCGTTTGTCCCCTCAGGGTGACGTTTGATGACGACATCCTTGGGCTCATCCGAGGAGGAGCTGACATCGTCGTGGCCTGCGACTCGCTCATGGTCGCCAACCCTGCGTCCACATCAACACCGGCACGCCCAAAGCAGACATCAAGCGGCATAAGAGACTGCCCGATGGCTGCTGCTATGTTTGCTCCATTGACAGCCGATCTTACTGCTCCCTCGACGCCGATGCCAAGGTTGTCCAGGAGGTCCTTGCTGCTTGCAGTGCATCCAACACTCTGCTGCTGCTGATGACGATGTGATGGTGAAGATGACGACGCACCGCTACCATTACCTCCACCGCTCATCGCTGCTTTTCCGTTGGTTACTGCCTCCAAGGCCCTGTCCGCAGTGCTGAAAGCGTTACTGTTACTAACTAGATTCCTTTCTACATCAAGATTGATCGCACCGGCTGGGACCGTGGCAGTACCTGCTGAAGTGCTCCTGGGCATGTTATTGTTTCTGAAAACTGTGGGCGACTCCACATCGCCGTCAAGGCATGTGACCGCTGCCGCACGCGCGACGGAAGGGGCCATTGCACCTTGGCCGTTGAGTGGGGCTGCACAACTCGGCACCCCAGACGCAGCCATGCCAGTGCTTCCACCTGTCATCATGTACTGCGGCTGATGGGTCCCCGATGACTCCGTCGAATTGCAGCTGCTGGACATGTTTGGGTCGGTGGAACAGTCCGTTGTCACGCCCCCATCGAGGCAGACACCACCACTGCCGATGCCGCTGTCGCCAACATCGGCTGACTGTGGCTCCGCGAATCCTAGGGCCTTTGTCAGGCCATCCATTGTCGGCTTTCCTGTCGTCATGTCGCACACCAAGCTCACTGGTGAGTTGTGCACCTTCAACATTTCCGACAGGTGTACAGGCATGCAGGTCGGCGATGTTCGTCCCACCCCTGTTAGTACACTCCCTGGGCGCGTGCAGGGGGTCATCAGACACTGCGCACTGGGCGTAGTTGCCAGGCCACATGCCTGCATGAATGATGGACTGCCGCCTGCTGAGATCGGCACTACGGAATCACCATCACTGCTCCCTCTTCCCCCAACTCCCCCTAACGACTGTCCTTTAAGATCACCCCATCTGTTCAGTACAGCGTGCAGACCCCCTCCAGAATGCAGCAACAGTCCACACCCCCGTGCCTGCATCAGCAGCTGGTTTTGATGATGATGATGATGGTGCTGATGGTGATGTTCCAATGCACCGCCCACAGTCATTAGGCGACCACAGGGGTCGTGATGGTTGGCGATGGAGCAGTCGCCCACACCTCCGCTCCCACCGATTGCCTTGCCTGAAGCCTGCAAAGCAGCAGACAAAGCGCCTGAGCGTCCATCTCCACAGCCAGACATGAGAGCAGCCGCGGCTGCCGCCGCCGCAGCCGCAGCAGCAGCACTGGTAGGTGAGACACCAGCTGTGCCACCGTTAGTGCCACATGTTCCATTTGTCGGGGAGAGGCCATGCAGAGAATGATGGATATGGTGGTGGTGAGGAGAGAGATGGTGAGGATGGTGGTGATGATGGTTGAGGATTGATGACGTGCTCATAATGCAATCCGGATCGACATGCAGAAGGTCTCCCATTGCACTGCCATGCACATACCCCTTGGGCGAAGGGGATGCAAATATGTCGCCCAAACTGCCGGAGCCAGCGCCTCCACCACCATTACCACAGGCCAAGGCATGTATGCTGGCCCCTGCTGTACCCATACCTGTCAGGCCGCCGTTACCTGCCAACCCTGCAGAGGCATTGCAGAAATTCTGCAGGCGGTGATGATGAGCAGGAACAGCGGAGGACGACACCATCAGCCGCTGTTGGGCGGCAGCTTCCGCGATAGTTCGGGGGTTGAATGACACTACTACATCTCCAGGTGATGCCAGCATGCGCGCCCCCGGAGGAAGGCCCATAGCCGCTGCTGCCATTGCTATCGGGCTTCCTTGACTGATCAGCAGCTGCCTCTGTCTCTGCTTCTCCAACCTCGCTAACTTTGCCAGCTTCTTCATCCGCATATTCCAGAAATTCTTCACGTCGTTGTCTGTCCGTCCTGACAAGGACTTCGCGATCTGCGCCCATCTGCACGACACACAGCAATCCACATCAAACTTAGCAAGTATGAGCATCATCCTCCCTCGTGAGAAGGATCAATAATTTTTCCGTGTGCTTTAGGTACGCTACGGTACCGGACCAGCCTCGCAGTGTTTCTTCTTTTCCTCTTTCTTTTTTATTTGGACCATTTCTCAATTTATGTGTGTCATCCTTGCAGAGGGGCCATGCTAATCTTCTCTGTATATCGTTTCAAATTCAAATCCTTGTAACGGATGTCCCGAAGGACAGTCTCGCAATGTTTCTTTGATTGCCCTGCCACCCATCCAATCTTCTCGCTTGCAAGTGTTTCACACACCCCAGGCCTCACAGCCCACGTAAACATGGCCAAGCCGAGAAATGCAGCTCACAGCAAAACTAGATATCCCCAAGATTCTAGAAATACAGCTCACAGCCAAAGTATATACATTGCCAACCCTAAGAAATGCACATTGCCCTGTTAAACAAATCCTGTGCGCTTTGTTTTCCACATTCCACACACACACACACACACACGCATTCAAGGGTTACATCCACCACGCGCCAGTTGGTTACATCCTCCTTACGAGCCTTCTAGGCTCTTCAAGCAGCACAGGTGAAGCAGGGAGAACCTCGCGTTTACTCCTAGGTGGTTGGGCATGCCTAACCAATTCGGTCCCAGGCCACTGTCTGAATAGGTCTGCGCGCAGACACTTTGGCCCAATCGGAAGCTACTGAAACACACGAGGCCCAGCCAGACAGCAAATCAGGCAAGCACTTTCCATAAAGGAAAGAGCTCGGCACTGGTGGGGTCATTCGGGCAATGGCTTGTGCAAGCGGCAGCGCTGCTGGAGCGTGCGCTCGCGGGCTGCTTGCTGTGCACTAGCAAATGCCAGGCACGCGCGGGCGTCAAGGAAGAAGACAGGGCGCTGCTGTGGGCAGCGCCATAGCCAGCCCTACATAGCCAGCGCTTGGCTTGGATAGCCAGTGGAGGTGCTGGTGGTCTTCGTGTACGGGACGGAAGATGTGGGTAGACAAGGCGAGGAGGGAGAGAGAGAGAGAGAGAAAAAAAATGAAGATGATGGTGTGAGGTTACGTACCTGGTCTTGGCGATGGTCTACAGGGTCGACATCTTCATGTACTTCGGTTGTTGCTGCTGACGTCAACAGGATACATTGTCAATTCGTAGGCTGGTAGTAGCTGTGTGATCGTAGTCTGGGCACTGAGCGGCGCGTAAAGAGGAAGGGCTCTGGATACATATGTTAGTGGTGGTGTTAGTGGTGGTGAGCGTATGCTCTCTTGACATTCGGATTCGGTGCTTTGGTTCTCATTCGGTGGAATATTACTGCATTTCTGCTTTCTGGACAGCGTTGGACTTTCTGGCTTTCAATGTGATTTTGCATTCTGGATTTGAGCGCCACAAGGGCTGCATCTGAGCACGGCCAGTCTTGAACCTGCAACCCGCATCTTACAATGCAGGCGCCCAAACAACTGGGCTCCGAACATTTGCTGTGTGTGAATGGCTGTGCGTCGGTTATACCACCAGTACATGGCCCCAGGCAACTGGAGAACCTGTTTTGAGCCTCTCCGGAAATTTAGGAGGCCGAGAGCCGTAGATAAAATGAATTGGTGGCGGGCGGCCTCCAAAAGGGCTCCGCCAGCCTTTCTTTTTTTTTTTCCTTCCCCCCCCCCCAAAAAAAAACCTTCAGTATGTTCTAGGCACTCCGGCCCAGTACACACCGGGCGCTCCGAGCATTTCCACAGCCCGGTGTTAGTCGGCAGGCATCTTTGCAAAACAAAGACAAAGTCAAATGCATGCACACAGGCGAGCACAAGGCTCCGGAGTGCGCTCAGAAACGTGATGACAAGCAAAACAGGCAACTCAACCAACACCCGAAACAGACAGAGAAAGAGAGGGAGAGAGAGATAGAGGGGAGATGAAGAGGAGAAAACCATGGCCCAACTCGCAAATTAAGTGCAATGAAAAACCCTCGCTCAATAGGATATCAACGAAAATACAGCAGGAGCAAGGTCAGCAAAAAAAAACCGACATGTTTCGGCCACATCGCGAAAATGGCCATCATCAGGGGTAATACACTGAGGTAGGTATGCCGTTGCTTCATAAATACTAATACACTGAGGTTACCTCGAGATCTCTTGTCTCTAGGAGATCGACACAAGTGCTCCGTTCCCCCCCCAGCAGCCGAAGGGAAACACGAAAACCCAGTAAGTGCCGGAGAAGGGAATGAGCAGGAGAGGAGCAGGAAAACTTCAGTACACAGTGTGCCAGAGGGGAAAGGGGGTATGTGTTAGAACAGCAGAAAAAAGTCAAAAAAAGAATGGCGCGGGAAAAGGAGAAAACGAAATCATGGCAGGATACGTGCGAGGCGCAGGAGATTGGTGGTAAGCAAGACAGGTAGATGGAGAAATGAGAGACATAGGATAGGTCAGAGAAGAGGAGGTGCAAACCAGGTAAGTAGTGGAACGATATCAGACGCGAGAGAAGTATGAGGCAGGGTGGACAACAAAGACAGGTAGGATAATGCAGCAGATATTGGTCTGTAGTACCCGTGAAGGATTTTGGTAGCAGGAAATCCATCCGACGTCACTACGGGACAAAATTCCCCACGAGCTATTAGCACAACCGGGTCCATGATGTTGTCGTCGTCTTCGATCTAATATCGACAGCCTGGTCCTTTTTAAACCCTTCGCTAAAAAATTGGACCCCTCCACTCCAGCTGCCCCCATTAGCCGTCGAATAGTCCGTCAATGCTCTTAAAAACATCCAACAAGGAAAACGCTTAAGCCTAAGTTCATGTCTCAAAGACACCAGGCATTGGCCCACTCCCTTGGAATCGGAGTGGGCCATAATCCGACTCAGGTGACACTAAATAACGCCGATCTTCTGGACCTTGGGGCCATAAGACCAGTAGTCCAGTCCAGCCTGGTCCTTTTCAAACCCTTCGCTAAAAAACCGGACCCATCCACTCCAGCTGCCCCCACTAGCCGTCGAATAGTCCGTCAATGCTCTTAAAAACATCCAACAAGGAAAACGTTTAAGCCTAAGTTCATGTCTCAAAGACACCAGGCATTGGCCCGCGCCCTTGGAATCGGAGTGGGCCATAATCCGACTCAGGTGACACTTAATAACGCCGATCTTCTGGACCTTGGGCCCATAAGACCAGTCGTCCTGGGTGGACTGCAATGTGATCCTGCCGTTGCGCCAAATGTTCCTTTGGTTCTTCATCAGGGCTTTGCAGTGGATAGCAGGCAGGTAAGCCTGTGTGATTACTTGATGGCCCAAAAAATCAAACACCCCATCCTTCTCATCAGTTCGAACCAAGGTGAGATTCTTATGGTAGATGAAGCGAAATTTGGAGAAAACAGATCGGGCATGGTCTGATACAACCTGAGACGAGTTAGGGAGAATAAGAACAAAGCAACATCGTCGACCAGCCTAAGTCCAGCGACCAAACGGCGGTCTTTACCTAGAGAATTGAGAAAGTGGAACTCGTGATAAGCACGGAGCAAACAGGCAAGGGAGGGACTGGAGCTCTTCCCCGTGGGTATACCCACTACCTGTCGGATGATAATAGAGGATACTTTGGAGAAAGAGTGCTGCAGAACCTGCTTGGGTCACTAGGTGGGGTGGTACAGTGGATATTAACATCAATGTGGCTGTATTAGCCGCAAGGTTCAAGCTTTCACAGCATGAGCGCAGCACGTGGGCTCTGGCCCTTGCCAATGTAGAAGTCAGCACTCATATGTGGGTTCGGAATAGGGAGACAACTGCGGTAAGACTGGAGATTGCTGCGAGGGACTGTGCTATTCTACACAGAGACCGCGGATCGGGTGAGTGCGCAGCGGACCACATAAGCTGGTGCCCCCCTCAGGGTTGGGCAAAAAGAAGAAAGACTTGGAAGCTGAGGATCAGGCAAACGATAGGCTCGTTGACTTGTGCATTGCATCTGATGCAATACCAAGTACACCACTGGGATAGAGGCCTTGCACAAGGGCCTTTCAAAAAAAAAAAAAAAAAAAAAAAAAAAAACATGCTGCAGTAGTATTAGCAGAGCCACCGCCTATCCAAGGTGCCTGAGCATCCTTGGAACTCATAATGTTCGAGCCTCGAGGGGTCAAAAACAAAGTTAACGAGACGACGACTGCCCAGGTAGGGAGGGTTGGGGGTTATTGTTATATGTATGTGTAGGGAGGGTTGGGGGTTATTGTTATATGCATGTACCATTATAACACGAGTCAAGAGTGTAATTACGGATGCATAGAGAAACCAAATATAAAAGCGATTTCAGAAGCACACATAAAAGCAATTTCCGGGGCTCTTGCAAGGTAGCGCCAGCAGCCCTCCCTCGGGTGCCCTTCGAAGATCATCACAACTGTATGCACAAGGAGGCTCCAGATACCTCTGACACATGCCTCTGCCAGTCGAGGTACCACAGGGATTTCCTAGCCAAAATCATCTTCCCAGCCTCCCACGAAAAAAGGTTCAATGGCAGCGGGTTGGGTTGACCCCAAGTCGGCGAAAAAGGCTCCAGCACAGTGGGAGTTTGGATAGGGTTATTTGATGCCTTAATGTGTGATTAGAAATATCAATCTTTCTTTTATGTCTTTTTGTATGAGATATGTCTCTTTGTATGAGATAATGATACAAGTCAAGACCTAGGTTGGGTTAGAGGAGTGTTCCGTGGTTCTTGGGTGTGCGATACGACGGGGGTTTGTTACGCGAATGTACAGCCTTTTTCGCTGTGATTACTATGGTTTCTCTGCGTGCGCTTGATGTATGCTTGGTGTGCATGGGATGTATGCAGTGTGACTTGCGTATCTACTTTGCTTCTAGGTTGGTTGTTAAAAAAAAAAAAAAAAAAAAAAAAAAAAAAAAGACCTAGGTTGTTTATATGATAATATGGGAGCCCGGTGACTATGTTCCGCCTGGGGAGAAGAACTATTTTGTTGGCTCTGTGGTGGCAGAGATACATCCTGACGCTGGAAGGAGC